GAGAGTAAGAGATCACACCCCAGGGTGGATGGCCCTGGTCCCTTCTCCTCCACGCTCCCTTCCTCTCAGGCTTTTGCGGCACGTGTGCACACGCGCCCTGTGTGAGCTTCAAACTGCTGGGGCCGGGACTCAAACCAGTCAGCCCCACGCGAGTCCAGCATCTTACCCACCGTGCCACCTGCTGGCCCCTCCCTCTCACCTTCTTTGTGGCTCTTACCTTGCTACCCGTGTGTGTGCTGGAAAGAGTATGTGTGCGAATCTTTCTTTTTTTTGAGAGAGATTGATTTTTTTTCGTTATAGGGCGTGTGCGCTCGCCAGACAGACAGAGAGAGACATAGAGACAGAAAGTGAGAAATCACCCCCCAGGGGGGATGGTCACGCCGCAATCCCTTCTCCTCCATTCTCCTCTTGGGATCTTGGGCACGCACGCACACATGCCCGGTGTGAGTTTAAGCCACCGGGTCCGGGACTGGAACTGTGGTCGACTACATGGGAGTCCAGCGACACAGCCATTACACCAACTGCTGGTCCCATACGTGTCTTAATTATTCGTCCGTGTGGCAGAGGGCACAGCAACGGCGAGACCCAGGGCGCTGGCTCTGAGCACGTGCCGCAGCGGCACGGGAGACGTGGGACTGCGAGGCCTCGCGGTGCGGGGTGCACTGTCTAGGAACACCCAGACAAGTGCCAACGCGTGCTGGTTTTTCCGCTTACATTTATTTCGTTGCGTTCTTTGCTTCACTCATTAACTCCGCAAGCATTCGATGAGCATTTGTTGTGTCAAATATTTATCACTGTTCTTACTCCACTGTCTAAAAGCAGCTCTTGCCATATGTGCTTTTCAGGCTTTTTTTTTTTTTTTTTTAACTTGCTAGAGGGTGCCTGTGCTCGCTGGAGAGGGGCAGAGACAGGAAGGGGAGAAAGTGAGAACTCCCCCTCCCCCCGGGGATCAGTCACCTACATCCCGCCTCCTCTGGCCCCCCCTTTGAGACTTTGGCAGGACGCGTGTGCTAGGAGTGTCTTCCAGGCCGCTGGTCTGGGCCTGAGGGCGCCGTCGGCCCCGGGGCCAGCTCAGGCGTGTCCCAGAACCTCCCAGTTGCGCGGCGGCCGCGTCCTATGCCCTGCTCCTCTCATCGGGGTCGGGGCGACAGCACGGGTGTGTGTCGTGAGAAAGGCAGAGACCCCGGCCACTCCAGGCTGAACTGCAGCCGTAATGTAAGATTGCGGGGTGACGGCATAGTCACAGGAGAGCAGGTGCACCCGGGCTGTGGGCGCTGCCCTTCGGGTGACAGCTGGAGCCCTTGTGCTCACGGAGAAGCAGCCCTTTTCTCCTGCCAGAGGTACACGTGCTTGTCATCCAGTGAGGAGGAGAGAGTCGTGGCGCAGCCCTGCCTCCCCTTCCCTGCCCTGTCACGGCGTCGCCACTCACACACGTGACTCCGGGGCAGGATTCGAACTGTGGGCGGCCACGAGGGCTCCAGCTTCCGACGTATAGTGCCTCGCCACTGTGCTGCCACCTGAGCCCGAGACACCCGTTCATGTGAGAGCGGTTTGAGGAAGGACTGTCCTTAGAAAATATTTACTCTTTTAAAAATGAAAAGAAAAAAATCGTAGGACCAGCCGATGCCCTGTGATGAATGCAGCTGGATCCCACAAGGCCGACTGGTGTGACTCCCAGATCTGGCCGCTTAAAAAACACACCGGGTGGGGACCAGCAGTTAGTGTAATGGCTATGTCGCTGGACTCCCACGTAGTCGATCGTGGTTCGTGTCCCGGACCCGGTGGCTTAAACTCACGCCGGGCACTTGTGTGTGCATGCCCAAGATCCCGAAAGGAAATGGAGGAGAAGGGATTGCGGTGTGGCCATCCCCCCAGGGGGTGATTTCTCGCTTTCTGTCTCTCTGTCTCTCTCTGTCTGGCGAGCACAAGTGCCCTATAGCGAAAACCTCCAAAAAAACAAAAACAAGAACAAACCACACTGGGTGTGTGTGCATGTGCGTGTGCCGTGTCTGCGCCGAATCCTGAGAGAATGGGGGAGAAAGGAAGGTGGCGTGGCCTTCCCGTGGGACGTGCTCTCTCTGTGTACGGAACATGCCCTGCAGCGAGTGGAGGCCAGGAGGCGCTCTGCCCTCAGCGAGTGGCCTTCGTCCCTGCGCCTCCGGGGCCTGTGCTGGGTGCTTGGCAATGATCTCAGTGACTGAGTAAATGCCACGCGTTGGAAGTAAAGTTACTCGAATAAATTTAGAGAGCCTCTTGCAGTTTACATTTGTCAGATATATTCAGTTGAAATTCATTTGCTCGAAAATCTTTTCTTGTTTTGAAGGAGATCACTTTTTTTAATTTAAAATGTTCTTTCTTTTTTTTGGAGAGGTTTTTGCTGTAGGGTGCGTGCGCTTGCCAGAGAGACAAAGACAGAGAGACAGAAAGCGAGAAATCTCCCCCCAGGGGGGATGGCCACGCCGCAATCCCTTCTCCTCCATTCTCCTCTCGGGATCTCAGGCACGCACACACACGCGCCCAGTGTGAGTTAAAGCCACTGGGTCCAGGACTTGAACCGTGGTCGGCTACACGGGAGTCCAGAGACATAGCCATTACGCTAACTGCTGGTCCTCAAAATGTTCGTTCTTGAGAGAGACACAGGGAGGAGGATAGCCGTCATTCACAAGGTCTTGCCACACCATGACGCCTGTGCCTCTGCCCAGCAGGGGTCCTGGGCATCCATGTGTGCCTGACACGCTCGGGCCTCCCCATGGTCCAGCGTGCGCCTCCCTCCTGAGCAGTGGGCTGTACTGTGGCTCAGCTGAAGCCTCGGCCCGCGCCACCGTGCC